TTTTCCTGCTATCCCTTTCTATTTTGCCCTTGCAGTCTCTATTTTTTTTTCCTCACTATTCTCACCAAGCATCGCTGGCTTCCTTTTCCCTTGTTTGTTGGCTGTTTTTTTCTCTCATTCCATTCCCCCTTCCCCTGTCCTTCTCCTCCAGGGTCTGGCTGTCCCCTGGCTCCCTCTATCCCCTGAACCCTTGGACTCTCTGAAGAGCGTGGCATTATCTGAGGGGTTTTTAGTCTTGACTCTGGTCTGGGGCCTGGTACTGGGCGTATGAGCCCCTTGCAGCGGGGAGGGGGGCAGGAGGGGAGCAGGGAAGGAGCCTGGGTCTGGGACAGGTAATCTTCCAACAGGAGCCTCCGCTCTCTTAACAAAAGGGGGACAGTCCTCTTTTGTCTGGAGCTCCTGAGGGGCGTGTCCAGGGCCTAGAGCAGCCACCAGTGGCATGCAGGAGAGGGGGGCTGCAGGGGTGGGGGGGAGGGGTGTGCCAAGGGTTTCTAATGGAACCTGAGTGAGATTCTTCTCTGTGTGTGCCCACAGGAGAGAGGGAGACCTTCTGCCCTCCCTCCCTAAGCATTCGAACACCCTGGCTGCCGTTCACCTCAGGGAACAGGGTGAGGGAAGAGCACTGCCTGGGGATCCTCTCTGCCCACCTTCAAGGTTAAGGCCACTGGCAGGAGGACAGCTGACCATTGTCTTATGTCCCTGGTGCTCCTCCTGTTAAGGGAGTGTTGAGGGGGTGCACCTGGGTCCCTGAGGCCCCACTGAGACACTGCACTGGCCCTCCTGAGCCACTCCTCAGTCCAGTCTCTCCATCGACCTCTGACCTTTCCCTCCATCCAGGAGCGAATCATGGATCTCCTTCTATTTCCTAACTTACACGTGGATACTTCCATTTGCCATCATCCCACCACCTACCTAGTTGTACCACCAGACTCAGAATCAACCATGTCCGGAGTGTCTCTTCCACGCGGCACTGTGATCTGTGAGACTGAACACGCCCAAATTCTCCCGGAGGCTCACGTTGGCCATTTTCTGTTTGGCGTCTAATAGTCAGTGTAAATGAAAATACCAGAAAAACACCCCTGCGCCAAACGTAAACTCACTTGTTGTCCCTACCATCTCTTGACGTTAGAAAGTAAGACTGTCTCAAGGTGGAGAGTATCTTCTGTCACTCAGCTAACGTCTTTGGCTAATTGAACCAAAGCTGGTTATTAACCTGACATTAATTTTTGAATGCCAGCCTAAGAGGCCTGTCCACAAGGACACCTGCCTCCAGCTCTCTCACCTCTGTCAGCCAGCCAGCCGGTTGGTCGGGGTCAGCCGCTGAGCTCACGTCACAGCGTTCAGGGCCAGCCTGGGGTCCAGGTCCTGGGCGGCACCTTCCCCATTGCCAGAGTTCAGTGCCAGCCCAGGGGTTGCTTGTTTTGTTTCAGCACGCTCCCCGCGTTCTTCCGGGATCCTTTCCTCAGAGCATAAAGGCCACGGAGCACAGGGTTTCAGATGGGGAAGACAGGGGCAGGAGCTAGCAGTGACCTTTTTTCGGTTGCCAGCTGAGGGCTGAGCCTCGCCTTGGGAGAGGGCAGCTGTAGGGATGGTGTAGAGCAGGGCCAGTCTCTCCCTGTGCGTGTTCCCTGTCTGTGTTCTCGGTCTGTTTTTTCTTTAATAACTGTCTCCTCTTACTGCTTTTCCAAGGCCTACGGCAGGCTGCTCAGCAGCCCCTCCCAGAGAAAACCCTGCGGAGAGGCCCGGGCCACCGGCTACCTTCACCTCTGCCAGGGAGGAAAGCCCAGACACAGGAGCTCCCCGGGGGCCTCTTTTCTGTGACTTGGTTTCCCCAAGGTTGTTTCACTTTCCCGGATGGAGCCCTTTCCTTTCTGTTGTGTGGTTTCCTTTCTTAGCTCTCAGTCTGTCATGCAGGTTTCTTATTTTATGCTCTTGCACCTTGCTCCCTATGATTTGGGCCCTTTAGTATGAATTGAATTGGGGACAGGTGAGTGTTCCCCTCCTCCAACCAAGGAACACTAGGCATGGGTCAAGTGAAGGGGACAGAGCTGGAGAAATCCAAGAATTCAGCATCTAGGGGGTGGTGGGAGGCGGCAGTGGGACTCAGTGACTGTGTTGGGAAGTCGTGTCCATCTTCCCGCCTTTGTCACTTCTCAGGGTTGGCTGTTGGGTCTGTGGCTGCATGGAGCGCCCGTCAGCAGAGCGCTGTGGCAGGAGGCTATTTTCATAAACTGTTGCCGGTTCTCCAGCCGAGCTGCGTTGAGTTGGCATCTCTCGTCCCTGCTAATGGAGCTTGCGTGGCTGGGTGTGGGCCCAGGGAGGCAGCCGAGCTCGCTGGGGGCTGGGGCGGGGACCGCGGTGGGGTGCCGGAGGGGCAGCCTGGCCTGGGAGTGCTCCTGAGAGCCGCAGCCCCAGGACTAAGGGGTGGCTCGGGTGGCCGCACCCTGGGCGCCAGGTCCCTGCCCGGGAAGTGCTGCTGGCATCGACACTTTCCGAGCTCTCTTTCTTCTCTTTCTATTCATAGCACCGCTTGTGTGTATGACCGGGGAGGAAAACTTCCACTCGCCCCTGTGCGCGCCATAAATAAAAAAAGAAATAGAACCAGAAAAAGAGAGAGTATGCGGGGCTCGAGAGAAAGAGACTGAAACCAAAACACAGAGAGAAGGCGCAGCTGCTTTCTCCAAGGCCTTCTGGGGCTCCCGCCCGCCAGCCTGCCCGGAGTCAGGCCTTTATTTATTTATTTTTCTGGCTTAAAAAAAAAAGAAAAAAATTCCGAGTCTTCCTCCATCCTAGCCCCCACCCCACCCCCTCCAAATTTGCTGGTGGCCGCTGCCAAATGGACCCGAGTGGGAGCCTGGAATGAAAAATTCATAACTGCTGGACTTTGCTTGTTCATTAGACGTGAACTTGTCGATTGGGCAAATTGTTTTTGGTCTCCAACTGCCGGGGGCTCTCCCCACCCTCCCAGCTCGCTCGGTTCCCTCCTCCCCTTGGACGCAGCCATTGGCTGCTGGAGGATGTCTCATTGCCAAATAGGTGGATCCTTCTCTCTCTCTCTCTCTCTCTCTCTCTCTCTCTCTCTCTCTCTCTCTCTCTCTCTCTCACCCCCCCTTTTACTGGCTTTGGCAAGAGCAAATGGATGGGGATTGAGCATGAAAGGGGAGAGAGAGAGGGAGTTTGAGAGAGAAAGAGAAAAGAAGCAAAAAAAAAAAAAAAATCCAAAACCCAACCAGCACACACACGCAGCCCCATCCCATCTCCATCCTCCCTCGATCTCTCTCCCTCTGTCTCTCTCTCCTTCCCTCCCTCCCTTGCTCCCTCTCTCGCAGGCGCCTGCCAGCGACGGTCTGCAGCCGGTCGGAACTCGTCCCCTTCCCCGGGAATCTGCGAGCTCCCCCTTCGCCTGCGATCAGGCTCAGAGGCGGAGGGAGGCAGCTCCAAGTTTACACCCCTGTGCGGCTGCCAAAGCCGAAAGCCTTTTTCTTCAGCTGCCGCTTTTCCCTCTCCTGGTTTTTGTTTTTGTTTTGTTTTGCCACGGGGGTGGGGTAGGGTGTGTTATGGGGTGGGGGGTGTTGGGAGGTAGGTTTTGATTTTTGTATATTTTCGCTTTCTTTTTATTTTATACTGGAAGAGGATGCACATGGGGTGGAATTGAAAAAAAATTTTTTTGTTTGCTTTTGTTTACCTGGCGTGTGTGGCAACCGGCTTGCTCCCTGTCTCTGCTTGCTATCCCTGACCTTTCTTTCTTTTTGCTCCTTTTCAAAAAAATATATTAATTTCCCCCTTCTGTGCAATGGAGCGTGGGGGGGAGGGGGAAGGGTTTGAGAATCCACCCAAGCCCGGCCCCTATTCCCCAGAACACCAATAATAACCCCCTTTAAAACATTTACCTTCCTCCCCTGCTCCTCCTCCTCCCCCCTCCCCCCACCCGCCCCCAACTCACAACTCTGTTGAGTCCAGAAGCTCAGAATCGGGCGTTGGGCTTTGCCGGGTGCTTCAGATCAATGGTAATTATTTATTTTTTTCCAGTTTTATTTTTGTAAACAGAAATCAATTATTATTTAAACTGCAAACAAGCAAACAAGCAAAAAAAAAAAAAAACCCAAAAGCGAGAGCCCAGCCCTCTGTCACCTGACTGAGCGGGAAAGAGGGTGAAGGGGTCAGTGGGGACGGGGCGCAGGACGCCCCACGTAGCTTTTAACCCTAATGTGGTAGAGACAACCACCTTGTTTGTGCTAACAAAAAAGTGTTTTGTTCCTTATTACTGTGATTAACATTAGTATCGGTGTCGATAACAAAGCTGGAATCACATATTTAGGATTTAGATCTGATTTTTACAAATGCTGGGGTGGATGTTCCAATTGGAGCAGGAGAAAAGAGAATGAAAACAGGCTGGGGAGGGGGAAGCCGAAACCGGTTCCTCACTCGCTGGCGGCTGGATGTCATGTTCTCTCTTCTTGGGGGTGGCCAAAAGCCGACCGGTGTTGGGGCTCCAGGCGGCACCCACGCGGCCCGCGTGTGCGGCCACGGGCGTCCGTGCAGACCGGACACCGCGTCGGGGCGAGCTGACACGAGTTCGAAGCTGCGATAGAATATGGAGATGTCATGGGCGCGACAGAGCCTGGCCGGGATACCAGCAGCGTGTGTGTGTGGACGGCAACGTTGTCTGTGCGCGCTTGTGTGTGTGTGTGCGCGCGTGAGTGAGTGAGAGAGAGAGAGAGAGAGAGAGAATAGGTGTGTGTACAGGCTTCGGGTGCCTCTGTCTGGCTGCTGAGGCTGAGATGGGAGCAAGCGGCTGGCTGGGCTGGCGGTGCCTCCAGACCACACTTTCCTAGAACAATCGCAAGAGGAAATTGTCGTGGGTGGGAGGAGGAGGAGAAGGGGATTTCATCTGTGTCCCCTTCTAACGCTTCTTTTCTCCTTTTCTCTTTCCCTCTAACCCCGTCTTCCCCTCCTCCCGTCCTCCCTCGCCCCGCATGCTCCCGGCTTGCCGCCTGCAGGATGAGTTCCACCCGTTCATCGAGGCGCTGCTGCCTCACGTCCGCGCCTTCTCCTACACCTGGTTCAACCTGCAGGCGCGGAAGCGCAAGTACTTCAAAAAGCACGAGAAGCGGATGTCGAAGGACGAGGAGCGAGCGGTGAAGGACGAGCTGCTGGGCGAGAAGCCCGAGATCAAGCAGAAGTGGGCATCCCGGCTGCTGGCCAAGCTGCGCAAAGACATCCGGCCCGAGTTCCGGGAGGACTTTGTGCTGACCATCACAGGCAAGAAGCCCCCCTGCTGCGTGCTCTCCAACCCCGACCAGAAGGGCAAGATCCGGCGGATTGACTGCCTGCGCCAGGCCGACAAGGTGTGGCGGCTGGACCTGGTCATGGTGATTTTGTTTAAGGGGATCCCTCTGGAAAGTACTGATGGGGAGCGACTCTACAAGTCGCCCCAGTGCTCGAACCCCGGCCTGTGCGTCCAGCCACATCACATTGGAGTCACAATCAAAGAACTGGATCTTTATCTGGCTTACTTTGTCCACACTCCGGGTAGGTCATTCTCAGCAACCCCCCCCCCCCATTTTATTTTATTTGCTGGCATTTGTCCTGTTTATTGTTCCTCTTCTGACCAGATGATGCACTCAGTGGGCCTACCCTGGGCGCCCCTCCTGCCTAGGCCTGCAGCACTTTTGATGTTCACTTTTTCCTTCTTCTCCTCCCTTCCACCCTCTCTATTCTTCCTTCGTGGCTCTCTTGCCATATTCCCGATTTTTGTGCATATCCATCTTTGGAGGACTCGTCTTACTCCAAAGACATTGCACGTCTTAGGACTGGGGCCGCGATGTCCCAGAATTACCCACGATGGTAAGAGTTTGTGATGAATACCACCCCCCAAAAAATCACTCATTGCTCTGATTTAAAATGAGTCAGAAGAAGTATTATGGGAGGGCAGGTGCTGGCTTTCCTGCTGCTTCCTCTCAAGTTCTAGGGATTTGGCACAAGCGGGGTGGGCAGCAGTTCGGTGGAGAGGGGCGTGTAAAACCTCCGGATATGAGACAGAATGAATAGAAAAGAGGAGAGAAGGCAGAGGCGGGCTGATTCTGGGGCCCAGATGCCCAGGCAGGAGCTGTTCAGGCTGGGACTTGGCTGTCAGAGAGTAAGAAAGTCATTTGATTTCACAGAGAGTAAAAAGGAGTGTGAGATTCCTTATGTTCTTGCCCTTCACTGTGTTTTTTTTTCGGCTGAAGTGCCAGAACCCACGATGGATGCCGGCAGCCCACGCACCTCTGCTGGGGGGCAGTGAGGTGCTCTGGGTCACAAGCATGTCAGGGAGCAGGAAAGAGGTCTTACAGAAGCAAACAGTCAAAAAAAAAATTCCCTTTTCCTTTTGTGTTCCAAGTAGTTCCAGTTCTCTCTGCTTTTCCAATCTTACTCTGCATTTTGGGTCAGGGTGGTTCAGTTTTCCTCCTCTGTTCCTTTTTTTTTTTTTCCCTCTCCCTACCCTTTCCCTTTTTATAATTTCTTTCCGCTTTTGTTTTCTTACAAATTGAAACAGAGATGGCTGGTTAATTTTTAGCCTCCACTCAGCTACGCCCAATTTACTGCCGCCTTTGAAACCTAAATGGGCGGCACACTGTGATTAAGCAAGGCAGAAGTGTGTTTACATTATGCCCAACCAACTTGTAATGAGAGGGCTACCAAACCTTTCTGTGTGTGTGTGTGTGTTTTCCTTTCCACCATTCCAGTATTTTTTCCCCTTGTTTTCCTTCTTTCTCTCTTGATGCGAATGCAAGAGAATGTGGCTTAACTTCAACTCTAGTGAATGTTCTTTCCTCGCAAGGCAGGCATGCGTGTGTCTTCCTTCCTGTTCATTCACAAAAAAGAAAAGCAACTCACTTTTCTGCTGTGGGCACCCACTTGCCTGTTTGGGAAGTTGGGAGGAGCGGTCTAATGTAATGCAGAAATGAAATTTGGGGGAGCTTTCAGCATTGTGTCCGGGATGTTTACCTTGACTGAGAGTTTATATGTTGGAGGACTCAGGGGAGGAAAAGGTAGTATTTGAGGCCCCTCTTCTTTCCTTTTCTCTTGTTCTGAGAGATGGTTTTGGTAGTTGGTTGGAGATAGTGGACTCCCCCTTCCCCACTCCACCGCCCTCTGTGGATCTTTCTAGGCCTGTACCTGTCTCTGTGCAACTGTCGTGAACCTTCAAGAAGAGCGACCAGCTGCCAGTCTTCTGCCTTGTTCATCCTTTCTCCTTCTGCAAAAGAGACTAAAGAAAATTTAAAAAGTTACCCCCTCATTCTCCATCTACACAGCAAGTCAGAGGAGGGTGGGTGTGTGCCTGGGGGTGGTGTTGGCGGCGGCTTGGGGAAGGCCTGGAGCCTTGAACTTATGTCTCTTAGGTAGCTCCCTGACAAGGGGATTCTGCACCTTTCGCTTTTAGAAATAGGCTCTCGAAGACAGAAATCAATACTCATCTTCCTCCCGAGCTGGTTTCCTCCTACCTCGCTCTCTACGTGTGTCCCTGGAGCCGAGCTGTTTTCCTGGCCTCTTTTCTTTTAGGCCAAATTCTTGACTGCTGCCAGCATGGATGGGGCTGAGGTAGGATGAAGTCGTGTGAGGGAAGAGATTGTTTCCTGGCCAGCCTTCTGGCTCCTGAACTGACCAGGCAGATGTCGGGGGAAGAGAGGTGCCCCTTCCCGCCCCCAGCTGTAATGAGATCATTAGCGCAGGGATACGAGTGAATTCCTGCCCCACCGCATGCAGCATGGCCACCTCTGTCCTGGCTGAGTTCCTTGACAAAAGCTGAGTGGAGAACTGAGCGCTTTTCATAATTCGTCTATAATTCAAGGCCCTGGACTCCAGAGAATTTCAGGGAAGGTTTTTCTTGCTGGAATTACTTTCATTCAAGTGTGCCTTACTGAAAGAGTGGGGGTGAGTTGGGACAGCATGGGCCACCGCTGGGCCTTGGGTAGGTGGTCTGCGGGTGGTGTGGGGCAGGCACGGCTTCTCCACGTCACCCCAGTTTGCGAGGAAACGTCTTCCGGCTGAGCCCGCAAAGGGCAGCGGCCTGACAGCACAGCCTCCTCCGTGCTCACACCCGCAGGTATGCTCCTTCCTCCCAGCAAAAACCGGGAGCGGGGAGGGCGGCGGGGTGGCAAGAGCTCAGACAAGAGTTACTTCAGACTCTAAAAGAAGTGTTTTCTTTCCTTAAAACTGGGCTGAAGAACCTGATCTGGGCTGAACCAATGGTGCCAGGTTTGATGACAAGCCAACTTGACATGGTGGAAAGCGTGGGGGTGGGGGGTGGCTTTGCCTCTAGGTGCCATTGTCATTTGTGGCCTTCTTGAGCTCTTGTTCTGCCCCACATGAAGCTTCACGAGGTGGGACGGTTGCCCTGGCCTGGTGGCTCAGTTGGTTGAGCATTGTCCTGTGCAATAAAAGGTTGCAGGTTCAATTCCCAGTCAGGGCAGGTGCCCTGGGTGGCAGGTTCGGTCCTCAGTTGGGACGTGCGAGAGGCAGTTGATCGATGTTTCTCTCTCACATCGATGTTTTTTTCCTCTCTCTTTCCCTCCCTTCCTCTCTCTCTGAAATCAATAATCGTGTCCCCGGGTGAGGATGAAAAATAAAAGAGGTGGCATGGTTGAGAGGGGATAAAGGATACAAGTGGGACGCCGGGAGCTCTGCTTTCAGAACATGGGTCCCCAAGACTGTGAGCGCACTGTGGCCTCCACGAGGGCAGCCTTCCTGCTGGGAGGGGATCTTGCCGTTTGTCCACCCCATCTAGGAGGGGAGGCTGAGGCAGAGCAGGGTCAGAGAGCACTGCCACGGGGAGGAGGGGCATCCTGATGATGTCCTCCCATCCAAGGAGGGACTCCCAGGGCAGGGGACAGAGGCGAAGAGGAGCATGGGGCCAGGAGGCCTCCGCCTCTGTGAGGAAGGATGGCTGGGCTGGTCTGGAAGCACTGGTAGACTATCTCGGAGCTTCCTCGGGGACCTGAAGGTGCACGGGCATCTTCAGACCCTTTGTAACCTGGGCTCTAACCTGGGAAAGAAAAACAATTGGAAAGTAATAAAATGCTTTATTGAATGGAAGTGTCAGCTCCCCCCGCCCCTTCAGATCCTTCCAGCGGGTTTCAGGGGAGGCCCGTGAAGTCCAGGTATTTGGGTGGCGGCTCTTTCTTTATCTCAGCTTTTTCATTACAGAGAAGTTCACAAGTAGACGAAACCCACATCACCAGTGCCAGCAGTTGCCGACTTAGGGCCGGTCTCTATTTATTATACCCCCACTGCCCGCCCACACTGGGTTGTTTAGAAGGAAATCCAGGCATCATAGCTTTTCATCTATAAATATTTCTGTACGTGTCTCTAAAGAAAAGGATTCTTGAAAAATGTACCCATAATACCACTATCACACCTAAAAATAATCAACAATTTCTTTGGTGTGGTCAGATAGTCAGCGTTCACTTTTCCCTAATTATCTCTTGTTTTGTTTGTTTGTCTGGATCGGGATCCAGATCAGGTGTATGCATTGCGATGGGTTGATCTGTCTTTCAAGACTCCTAACCTCTAGGCAATCCTTCTCTTCCTCTTCTTCCTCCTTCCTCTTGGTTTCTTTTCCGGCAGTTTTTGGGCGGTTGTTGAAGGAACCGGTCGAGTGTCATGTAGGGTGTTCCCATCTGGGCTCCACAGGCTCTGCTCCCCGGGTCGGCCAGCGGGCTGCTGTGAAAGGAGGTTCCGCCTGCCTCCCTCGCCTCCCGGCCTTCCCTGGGAAGCAAATGGATTAGCACCTGAGGATTTGTCTAAGTGAACTTTTTCAAGTACAAGGTCGTCCTTCTCAGGTATAACACATCCCTGGTTTTCACCCTTGGCTTCAGGGCTTGGGACTTTGCTGTCAGTGCAGGTTTGGGGGACTGAGGACAGGCTTCTGGTTTTCTTCCTTCCTTGGTAATGGAGGCCATCACTTGGCCACGTCAGCCGGGTCAAGGTACGGCTGATGTCAGCGATGCTGCCCCAGGCCTTTGCTGGACGCTAAGCCTGGCTGGTGGCTTTAATATGAATGTGTGGGAAGGGCCACAGGAGAACCAGCTGCCCTCTGCGGGGAGGAGCTAACCCCAGCCATGGTCACTGTGCCACCTCACCCACTGCCTCCTTTTTCAAGGCCTAGAAATGCCACTGGTCTGCATCTTTGAGGCAGCGCCATCTGGTGCCAGGGCCAGCAGAGACTGCAGGGCCCAGGAACCAGATTCATAAAGTGAGCAAGAAAAAACGGAGTACCTTTTAACCCAGTAGAACTTCCTGGAAGAGATGTCACTAATGTTCAGCTTTGGTTGTAAAATTCTTCTGTTCATCTAACTCCAAGGAGGCAGCAGAGCGGGCAAGCAGTGGATGGCTGCTGCAAGTTCCGTTATGATGTCGTGAGCCCAAGGCCGCCTTCCTCTTACCTTTACCTGTAGGTCTCACTCCTCTGTCTTCAGGGACAACCCAGGTGCGACACGGCAGCCTTTCAAACGCTTAAGGCAGCTCTCATGGTTCCTGTCTACCTCTCT